ATATTTGATGAAATTTCTTATTATAGATTTGAAGCATCCTTAAAAAAAAAACTATGAGTTGAGTAACTTTTCCGGCAACATTTAAAACTACGTGTGGTGCCATCTGTCATGAGATTCTATTTAAAAATTTTTTATATTATAAATTACACTAAAAAATTAAATTTTTTGCCATTTTATAATAGAGACGAGTTTTATTTATTTTTTTTAATAAAGATTTTACTCTGTACTAGTATTTGCAACTTTTTAAGTCCGACCCTATGCCCCATATGACACGTGACCCCCTCCATCTTCCCACCCTTTCGACCTTTAACCACCAAAATTTAACAGCATCAATGCCCCTAACACACAAACCTTCCTGCAAACTTTCGACAAAAGGCACGGCTTTCAAAGTGGGTGAATAGCCCACTTTTAGACGCGAATCCACGAACCCACGACCGAACTCCCAGTATTCAGGGAACGGAACAGCTTGGCCACTGGTGGGCCCTGTTTAGAGTTAAAATTGGTCATACAATTTTTATAACAAACCTCGTTGGATAATCAAGTCCACATCTTTCATACAGATTTGATTTGTAGACTTGAATATTCAACGAGGTTTTGTTATGGAAATTGTACGAATAATTCAGTAATCATCCTTCAAATTTTTAAGAAACCTTTCCGCCCCGTGAGTACTAATAGAACCTTTTTTAGCAAGCCCATTATGGGTTCTGCCAGGCAGGGGCGGATCTGGGGTTTTCGAGGCCTAGGGCTTATTGAAGTCCAATGGGAACCCATTTTTTCTTAATACAAATAATACTGTAAATTACCATTATTATTATTATATTATTAATATTAACTATTTTTACTATACGATAAGTGTTCATTGTTAATGAAAAAGTATTAAAAATTTATGATGATAATTCAATTTTTGTGGGCCCCCAAGTGTTAAGGGCCTACAAAATAATTGCTGGGGGCCCAGAGTTTGAACCGTATTAGTCCCTACGCAGATCCGCTCTGTTGCCAGGCCCATAATGGAGTGGCCGGGTAGTGAGGGACGGGCCCGACATATCCAGACGGACCCGAAAACTTCCAAGGGATTTTCGACCCGTCTGGATTCGGTCCCGGGTCCCCCAGATTTTTGGAATCATTCCAAAAAACCCAAGGAATATTTTAGGGGGATGATCCGTCCGCATACGTCTGCCCATTGTGGGTCTGACCGAATGGGCTTGCTAAAAAAAAAAAAAAGCCCTCTTAGTGCCTAAAGGGCGGAAAGAATTAATAAACGACATAAATTATAAAGTAAAAATTAAATTTTTATCGTTAAATTACCGACTCTACGATTATTCATAAAGGTTGTCGATCTCTAAAATTTTTGGCCTTGTATATTCCAACAATTTCGTAACTTCTGTAACTGTTCATAACCTTAAATTATTATTGACAATATCTGAATATTTGCCAATTTTAAGTCAGATATAATTCTTGTGTTCAGCAACGTTTTTTGATTATTCACGAAGGTCAATGCATATCATTAATTAACAATAACTCAATGATCGCTGTATGGCTGCACGTCGACCATTGAAAAAGATGAAAGTTCAAAACTATGATTGTAATTTTATTCTTTTCAATAAAATTTGCTATCCTTCTTCATATTTTTTAAGTTATGTTAAACTTGTTTATTCTATGATAAAAATTCGCGATGATCATTATTATCGGATGAAATTAATAGCTTTATTCCATGATAGACTGTAAGCTATCATGTTAGGAATGATTCAAATAATATAAAGAAATAATTTATTTATTTTGGTGTACGTTTCATTTATAACTGTTATTCCAACTCCTAACCGTTTGGGCTCTGCACTTATTATTATTATTATTATCATCAACCCGTCTCGATTATATTATAGATTAGAACTCATCAGAAAGAATTAAGATGTGATTCATATATACACTGTTGGCCATTAAAAATGCTACACCAGGAAAGAAAGCAAATATCAGAATCACATTTATTGTACACATACAGTATAATGGAAAGGAGACGTGATTAAATTGGCAGGTAATTTTGAGGTACAGAGCACCTTTCATGCAAATTTCGCGTTTGTCGAGTGCCGACTTCATGGTGTAGCAATTTTAATGGCCAGCAGAGTATCTTCTTCACAAAGTATCTTCATGATAATTTAAACCTGTTGTTCGAGTATGATTTACATGATGATAAACCGATCCAGTTGCTGTTTCCTATTTGTTACTAACTTTTATAGCTCTAAATCAGGTTTAATTACAAATATTTCAGATTTATTAAAATATGATACATCTAGAATTTCGCAAAAGAGATGCTGAACTAGCGAATCCCAAAAAAAGTTTCGCTTTAAACTTTAAGATCAACATATTTGATGAAATTTCTTATTATAGATTTGAAGCATCCTTAAAAAAAAAACTATGAGTTGAGTAACTTTTCCGGCAACATTTAAAACTACGTGTGGTGCCATCTGTCATTATATTTTCTTTNTTTTCCGGCAACATTTAAAACTACGTGTGGTGCCATCTGTCATGAGATTCTATTTAAAAATTTTTTATATTATAAATTACACTAAAAAATTAAATTTTTTGCCATTTTATAATAGAGACGAGTTTTATTTATTTTTTTTAATAAAGATTTTACTCTGTACTAGTATTTGCAACTTTTTAAGTCCGACCCTATGCCCCATATGACACGTGACCCCCTCCATCTTCCCACCCTTTCGACCTTTAACCACCAAAATTTAACAGCATCAATGCCCCTAACACACAAACCTTCCTGCAAACTTTCGACAAAAGGCACGGCTTTCAAAGTGGGTGAATAGCCCACTTTTAGACGCGAATCCACGAACCCACGACCGAACTCCCAGTATTCAGGGAACGGAACAGCTTGGCCACTGGTGGGCCCTGTTTAGAGTTAAAATTGGTCATACAATTTTTATAACAAACCTCGTTGGATAATCAAGTCCACATCTTTCATACAGATTTGATTTGTAGACTTGAATATTCAACGAGGTTTTGTTATGGAAATTGTACGAATAATTCAGTAATCATCCTTCAAATTTTTAAGAAACCTTTCCGCCCCGTGAGTACTAATAGAACCTTTTTTAGCAAGCCCATTATGGGTTCTGCCAGGCAGGGGCGGATCTGGGGTTTTCGAGGCCTAGGGCTTATTGAAGTCCAATGGGAACCCATTTTTTCTTAATACAAATAATACTGTAAATTACCATTATTATTATTATATTATTAATATTAACTATTTTTACTATACGATAAGTGTTCATTGTTAATGAAAAAGTATTAAAAATTTATGATGATAATTCAATTTTTGTGGGCCCCCAAGTGTTAAGGGCCTACAAAATAATTGCTGGGGGCCCAGAGTTTGAACCGTATTAGTCCCTATGCAGATCCGCTCTGTTGCCAGGCCCATAATGGAGTGGCCGGGTAGTGAGGGACGGGCCCGACATATCCAGACGGACCCGAAAACTTCCAAGGGATTTTCGACCCGTCTGGATTCGGTCCCGGGTCCCCCAGATTTTTGGAATCATTCCAAAAAACCCAAGGAATATTTTAGGGGGATGATCCGTCCGCATACGTCTGCCCATTGTGGGTCTGACCGAATGGGCTTGCTAAAAAAAAAAAAAAAAAAGCCCTCTTAGTGCCTAAAGGGCGGAAAGAATTAATAAACGACATAAATTATAAAGTAAAAATTAAATTTTTATCGTTAAATTACCGACTCTACGATTATTCATAAAGGTTGTCGATCTCTAAAATTTTTGGCCTTGTATATTCCAACAATTTCGTAACTTCTGTAAGGATTCATAACCTTAAATTATTATTGACAATATCTGAATATTTGCCAACTGTAAGTCAGATATAATTCTTGTGTTCAGCAACGTTTTTTGATTATTCACGAAGGTCAATGCATATCATTAATTAACAATAACTCAATGATCGCTGTATGGCTGCACGTCGACCATTGAAAAAGATGAAAGTTCAAAACTATGATTGTAATTTTATTCTTTCCAATAAAACTTGCTATCCCTCTTCATATTTTTTAAGTTATGTTAAACTTGTTTATTCTATGATAAAAATTCGCAATGATCATTATTATCGGATGAAATTAATAGCTTTATTCCATGATAGACTGTAAGCTATCATGTTAGGAATGATTCAAATAATATAAAGAAATAATTTATTTATTTTGGTGTACGTTTCATTTATAACTGTTAAAATCTAATAAAAGAATACACAGCCAAAGCTTTGAATAAAGGCCAGTATGGAGAACATAAAAATGACCGTTGTTAGGAAGTTATTTTGTATGCAATTCAATAAATTCTGAAATAATTGCTGCCGTTCAAAGATGGCCGATCTCATTGTTTCCTTTAAAAACAAGGATTATTGGAAGAATTATTTCATAGAAGTAGACGAGTATAAATTTATTCACCGATCCTTCGAGTTTGCTAAAGATCAATTTAGGAACTTCTGACCTACCAGAAATACAACGATATCACAGGGAATAAAAATATTAGTGGCTATCAGTGATCATTTCTCATTAGGCTCACATAGGGGCGCAAGAAGTTAGATGAGCAAAAAATTCAAAATAATGATAATAATATTAAAAGTAAAGTATAATAATAAGGAAAAAGAGCCCATACTTTACGATTTGATGATTGTGACGCAACACACGGCAATCTGCCAAGGGAAGATGTCTTTCAGGAGGACTTTCTACGCCTATTTAGATGTTACGAATGTAAAGAAAAGCCGGAAAACTTCATTTGACCAGCTTGTTGATGAGGCGTGAACTTGCACACCAAGTTTCAATAGTTTAATCCGCTTCACTACTGAAGGTCTCCATGTTTTATAGAATAGAGCAACGAGGTTTATTACATAGAGCCGTTGGCATAGAGCCTTAAAAATTTAAATCTGAACCCGAGAACAAGGAATATAACAATTAATAATAAGGGTTTGGACTAGGATTAGGAATTTCTTTTGAAATTATCCTTAGCGATCGTAAAATAAATAATTAATCGGTCAATGAACGTTTTCGTAGCCTTCAGTTTTAGTGATTATGCAACGTATAAAAAACACGCTTGAACCTACTTTATGAATATAACATCAAGGTTAATCGTTTTCTCTAATAGAATGGTTCGGTCTGACGTAATTTGTTTTGATAACGTCCCATTTCTCTTTATAAAAGTCGCATGCGAACGTTAGGTAATAGTCGAGGCCGTAGATTTGTACTAACACTAGCGTAGTGTATATACAGTAGCCTGTATTTGTTCGCATTAACATTACTCTGAGCAATGGCGATTGATGGGGCAATTACATCTTTGCTGATACTAGCAGCTATTTTACTATATTGTTTATACAAGTAAGTATGCAATATATTTATATGTATTTTAAACACAAGTTTATAATGTGTGTTTTCACGCACAATGCAACGTAACGAAGCAACGCGTTGCGATGCGCTCACGTCGCTTTGTGCTTACATTTCGAACACAAATCTTTCAAGAATTTTATACTTAAACACAATTAAGAAGTTGATTTATTTTAAATATTTAAGTCTTTAAATCTTAAGTATTGAACGTGATTGCATGCAGTTTATAGGCGACGCGACGCGCGAAGCGACGTTTCACCTTAATGCCGAAGCGACGATAAAATCAACGTGCGTGTTTCTTGATTGTTATACCGGCGACGTTACTTATCGTGTTTATGAACACCGGCAGACCACGTATATGGACCTCATTTGTCAATACTCCGAAGCGTAGAAGCAAAGTACGCTTCGGAGTAGCGACAAGCGAAGCGTCATGGCAGTCGGTAATGGTTTAAACCATTAATGAAATATATAAAGCAAAAATTCTACTGGTTTAGTGGTTCTAGTGGTTTAGTTGTTCATAAAAAGTTTTTTAGGTTAAAAAAAACTTATTTATTTGTTAAAGCACCTCTTAAAACGCAACTGTATTGCACTTTTATATAGAAATTAGAAGAAAAGAAGTTAAAATCGAAAGTTGTATTATCGGATTTAAATTTGTGTCACATGTAAACTCGTTAAAGTGCATTGAACTCATTACAGAAAACCTAAAATACATAACACATTTAAGCTATTATATAATCGACCTTTCCAACATCATTTTTCTTTTCTTTTCTAGTTGGGATTACATTTATTCAATCTAATTAGATTACTTAATAAAAAAAAAGACAATTTAATATCGAAATATTTGATATTTTTAAGATAAACTGTTTTAAATACATAAATTTAAATACATTATATAACAAAGTTAATGAGATAGCACCAAGCACCATGAATATTAGTCATGTTTGATGAAGAGCATCTTATCTGTAATGCTTACTACTTATAAATATTTAGCATTTCATAGGAAATACTATACAGTTTTAAATTATTTATAATACAATTATAAATGAAATACTTATTTAATAATATATATATATTTAAATAAGAATTAAAAATGATAAAGGAAATGATAATTTTGTCTGAATAACAATTGATATATTTTTATTTGATTTTCTTTTTTGTTTTATCATCTCTGGTTTTGATGATGTTAAAATCAAAATATACAGATTATCATATGGTTTTTTATATTATATTATTCACATGTTTTTTTTTAATCTCAAATTATTTAATTTTTTTAATTTTATTTTAAAAAAATTTTATATATTTACATGAAAATTTGAGAAAATAATAATATTCTATATATAGATAGAATATTATATTAGTTTAATCTAAAAATGATCATTACTATTATCAAAGTATAAATAGGTTAATACTGTATTTTCTGATTGCTTTGAGTACAGATTTTATCTCCTTATCTTTTTGTATGATGACCCATTTTGAAATTTGAAAGATTTTAATGGACAATTTTTAACAATGAATTTTGTTGTTTTATTATCTGAATAATTTGTCCAGCATAATTTTTATTTAATAAGACTGTTTATATCATTATTTATGATTTTTTTTTAAAATTCAAATTCATTTATTTATCTTTATAGAAAAATCACTAATGAAAAATAGATGAGCTTGGCATTGCTCAGGCAAAAAGTAAGGATAGGGAAAATTAAGATTATTACAAAATTATAGCTGATCTTACCCATTTTCACCTGGTAGAAGATAAGTAGTAATTTAGTATATTCTGTAGAAAATATACTAAATTATTTTTTACAGAAAATCTATATATATATATAATATATGCAAAGAGAAACATTTCACATTTCTTCAGAATTTTAAAATGAAAGATTTATTTGGAAATATTGAATAATTCATAAATGATAGTAATGAAAAATTACGAAAGTTGCAAGCCATTACATAAATAACTTATATATGTATATTTTACAACTTCATTATGATTTTGAATATTTTCATGCTGTAAAATTTTTCAGGATTTAACCTACATTTAATTTTATTTCTCATTATTATTTCTCTATTTTTTTTTTTTTTTGCAAGAATTTTACATTAGGATACACTATAAGCTTTAGAATTATAATAATAAGAATAATAATAAAATTTATTGAATATTGAGGAATACACTTCAATATTTAATAAGTTTTAGAATTATGGTAAAACAAAAGAAGGAAAAAAAATCAATAAGTATAATTGAATACAAGTAAACAAATTTCTGTAGAAGAAACAAGTTGATTTGTTTTATCACTTAGAATCTTCAAGAAAACAGAGAAGTATAAATAAAATATTTTTCTTAATAGAAGAAAAATTTGTTATCTCAGTGTTATGTTATTCCAGTTCACCTTGACCTCTTTCTCCTAATACAGAAGATCAAATAAAAAAGAATAATAGATGAAGAAAATTATAAAATGAAAGAATCAAAATATTTATAAAGAATTATGATTTATCATTTATAATATTGTTTGTATATAAGACATTACATTCATTACTATTTATTTTCAGTAATAGTTTACATTTAATTTAGTAAAACAAGATACTAAATCATAAAAAAAATATAAAAGGTAATTATTATAAATTGAAAATAATTTATACATTCATTTATTCTACAGATTTTTTAAGAAAAATAATAATTTTTGGGAGTCTCAAGGAGTTTGTGTTGTAAAAAAACATCCCATATTAGGTTCTTTCAATGTCATGTTGTTAAAAGTAAGTAATTACTTTATTAAAATGATACTACTATTATAAGTTATATGAAATTTTTTATTTTTTCCTAAATATTTTTAATATATTTTCTTTTGTGGTTTATTTATTTATGTCTTCATTTGATATAATGTGCTATAATAATGTAACTATTCAAACAATTTGAAAACAATATACTTAAAGTCCCTTTTATAAAGATATATATATATATTTGAAAAGGTTTCTTTTTGAAATTATCTTTGATATAAAGACATTAAATTTTTTGAAGCATGTTTAAGTTAATACATAAATTAGCATACAAAATGCAATGTCCTAATTATAACAATATTTAGTGATGTCATACACTAAAATATAGATAAAATAGAGAACTATTAGAAGCAATAGTTAACAGTACCATGCCAGGATTCACTAAATTTGTAGACAAAGAAAAATTATAATTATTGTCAAAAGACAGTGATTATTATTCATTCAATTATGGCATTATAACATTTGATTAAATATTTGATATTTATAATATATCTCAGTATATAGAATTTCTTTGCTAGATGTCTGATTATATAACTAGTTGATTGGCTAATATTTTGTATTTGATGGTTCAGCTGATTGCAATTATAAGAGAACTATTTTAGAACTAAAGCTTTACATTGTTCATTCTTGATTAATCTCTATATGAATATGCTTTTGAAAATGAAAATACAATTATTAGACTAATGACTAATGTTAAGTTATCTGAGTAGCTGATCGCATCACTCAGTTAATGATAGTTATAGCAAAGAATCATAGAATATTTTTAACTTCTGGTCATCCTTGGACTATTTCAGTCATGCATTTTTGTCATTGTCATTACAGATACAATGTCATCAATTCATGGATCACTGTTGAGTAATTTCCTTATAATGTAACTGTGTTTCTAAAACATGGATCAGTTGTAAATAAAAAATCTTAACCTTAGTGAAACTAATAGGAAAAGATCATGCTGAAAATATCAATGCAATTAGCCACTAACCGTCATTAATAACCTTGGTGTGACCAAGATATGAAAACTTTAAAAAGTAAAAAAATTTTATGATTACAGGTATCTCTTGTATAACATGGTAGTTACATTCCAAAAAGTGCTGTGTTATGGGAATCCTTGCTATACAAAACAAAGGACTAATGCAAAACATAGGGTTGCATTTCAGAAGTTAGCAAAAGTATACTATTTTTTTTCGTTACTAAGAAAAATATGTTTATTAAAGCAATATCAATAATTTATTTGGAATCAATAATTAATTAACAATCACAATTAAAAGTACCATATTATATGCTAATATTAATTTTATTTAAACCAGAGCATTGTCTTTTTACAAAGTATTGTCATCATCTCATGTTTTTTGTTGATCTTGATCAGAAGTATTAGCAACATTTTCATGTTTTTTTATTTATCATCAAAAATTTGTTCTAGCGGGTTGCATTTGTTTAGTGGAGTATGGAGCAATTTTTTTTTCCAGAATTTGTGTTCGAATACCAAATTGTTCGAGTACTGAGATACCACTGTATTTCATTTGTTGTTTTTATGAATGAAGTAATCATCTGTAGGTAAGTAATACCTATGGTTAAAAAAGTTTAACATGTACCTAAAATTGTTTAAATAAACTTTACTAAACATGAAGACTAGTCTGTAAAAAGAAAACACAGTCTTAATGGTTAAAGTTTGAAAGCAACGACAACACCTGGTTGATAGGAAAGTTAGTGCAATTTTTTCTTCCTTGTCCTATCAGTTTTCATTAAAGTAAATCTGATAGAAATCACAAAATAATTTGAAAATTTCAATATTCTAAAATCCATGGACAAATTGGAGACATGTGCTTACTTGAATAAAAGAAAAATATTGAATAACAAAGTTTACACTTAAAAATTGTAAACTTTATACAGAGGATTTCTAAAACTGTGTTAGAGCAAAACTGGAAATTGTGTTGAATGGGGATATCCTCAATTTTCAAACTGTTAGAGCAAAACTGCATTATACAAGTGATACCTGTACCTTCTAAAGATTTAGAGTTTTGATTAATAAAAAAATCTTTAGAGTAGAAAATCCTGTAAGTTCATATAAAGTCACAGATAATTAAATGTAAAAGAACCAAGATAATTTAAAACATGAATGTAATTTTAATAAATTTTTCAGCAATGCCATATGGAGGATATGGAAAATTATAAAAAATTAGGAAGAATTTATGGGCAAGTTTTTTCTATATTTAGATATAGATATATACTATTTAGAATTATTAAAACAATTAGGAATTTAAATAAATTATACTTATTTTAATTAGACGCTATGATGGTCAAACTCCAATATTGGTTATCGGAGATCCAGAGATTCTGAAGAAAGTTTTAGTAAAAGATTTTAATGTATTTCCTAATCGTAGGGTATGTATTTAATAAAAAATAATAATATATAATTAAAATTAATCATTATAAGGAATATTAAAAGTTTTAATATTATCTACTAAGAATTAGATTCTTTAATTTATTCATTATCTCATTATCCCAGTTGTCACAGATCATTGGTTTTCAGAGGTATTGAAAAATGTATTAGTGCTGAGCAGTACAGCACTTTTACCATGTAATATTAATAGTATGAAAAGTGCAATAATTCTCCATTGATAAAGAAGTGGGGCTGCTGTAAAAAAACAAATTATGAAGTTGGAAGTGCCACTATTAGAAAAAAGTTGAAAAAACACTATCATAGAATATGATAATAAAAAATTTAGAATTTTAATATTTGTATATAATAATTATAAATAAGAAGTAAATCATTATATTTGCAATAGATATAAATTTAATGGTCATTTCTATACAAATACTGTGAATTCATTGTGAATGTATTCATGTAGAAAACCTCTGGCTTTCAGGCTGAGAATATGCATTAGAAAGCAATTGTTAGCTTGTCACTTGAGCTAGAAATTCTCTGCATTTTTTGAGCCTTTGATGCTTTGTCTTCACAAACTTTGATTCATGAGCATTACTAAAATTTCCAAGTTTACATGTACAGAAAAGGGCTGCAATTTGAAAAAAATTACAGACCTATAAATTCCCACTGTCATTGTCTGTCTGCTGTCTTTCCTTAATCACAAGAACAGTGTTAGATAAATGAAAGTTGAGACCAGATATGGAAAGCTTAGGTAGGAGGCTCCAATCAACTATGTACAAACTTCCACTATAAACCAGAAATCACATGATTTGAATTCAAAAGTTTTCCTCAGAACAGAGAGTCACATAGATGACTGGCATGACTCTGTTGTTGCCAGGAAAAGTATGATGTACAGGGGCAAGACACTAATAATTTGAGATCAGATCATATATTTTAAATTAAATAAGTTAAAAATATGATTAAAAATTGTAGCTCTGTATTGTGATGATGTCACAATAATTTTTGCTCTTTTTTTTAGAAATTATTCACTCTCCACATTAACATTTTCATTGAGTTCAACATTGCCAGAATACAAGAATTTCAATGGAAGCTTTAAATTTTTGATTAAATCATATGATATATTTTAAAAATCTGTACAATCAAGGATTATTATAGTCAATATATACATACTTTGACTTATTCAACCAACATTAGATGATATTAAAATATTTTCTTATAGTTCAAAAATTGTGATATGAAAAAGCTCAAAGAATGATTATTGTTATATTTTATACTGACTAAATTATTTAATGTAGATGATATCACAAAATATTTTTTGTTATATCTTATCACAGATGATTGGATCAAAGAAATTTGTCTTCATCATTTTACATTTACATCTCAATTCAATAGTAATCAGACATTTTCACAGAAGGACAGAGTTTATGCCGCCTCAATCAAAAACTCTGTGTGTGTATGAATGTATAAGTCATTAGATTTATCTATAAGTAAAAATTTACACACAAACCTATCCTCAATGTTCTTAATAATGGTACAGTATATAGATATCAAATGCATGCAACAAATATTAAACACTCTTCCAGCAGGAAAACACTCTTTCCTTCTCGTCAATTCGTTCCATAATTTTGGATTAGTCTGCATAATGTTATATTTATAAGAAATAAGACAATATTTTTATATAAAAATTAAAAAATTGAATATTATCATCATTTATATTCATATCTTAGCCTATTCAATTTGGTGATCCTGTCATTGATAATAGTGTTGGAATGTTAGAAGGTTCTGACTGGAAGCGAGTTAGAAGTGTTTTAACTTCATTATCAACAGGTAGTAAATTACGAAAGGTAAATATTGTTATAGTTGCAAAAATATTTTATTTAAAACATTATCAAATTAACTGATTACAAGAATTTTTCTTTTAGATACTTTATTTAGTAGAAGATTGTTCTGATTCAACAATTGAAAGACTTTCAAAAGTTGCCAAATCAGGAGAATCTGTTGATATGAAACCGTAAGGAATCAGAATTTAAAAAATATTTAAATATTTTCAATTTTCAAAATATTTTATAATTTTTATTAAGTTGAATAATTTGCTACAGCAACTTTTTTTTCATAGTTTACATCAGGACAAGGGGGTGGTTATTTGTTATAACCACCTCAACTACAGCAGAGGTGGTTATAACAAATTGTGGGATGTCATTGCTGAGAGTCTGGGAGATGTTTGTTTATAAGTTTTAGATAAATATATAACCAGAATTTAGTTATTTGAAACAGGGCATGCTCAAAATTTTCTATGGGTGCTGAACCATCTGACCCCCTTTAGCTATGGGCCTGCATCAGAGTAATCCAACCACCTACATTAGTAGATAATTTGTTCATGTCATTGTTATTTGGTAATTGTGACATTCTCACTAACATTCTTCCTAAGAACAAACTGGATATATATATATATATAAATAAAGCACTGAATGTTTTCTACAGTTTTAAACAGTGACAAATAAATAAATGCTTACTGGAACTAATTAAATTATATAAAAAATAACACCAAAAAAAAATCTTGACAAACCATATTCATAAAAAAATTACTTCTCTGGCCCATAGTTTAAGTTAAAAGGTGTAGTATTAGACTACCCTGGCCTAAATGCAGAATTCAGTCTTGTTATAAACATACATATTTAAATATTAAGTATTTTATATTGATGTTTAGAAGTCTTTCTAACTCACTCAGTAGAACACGAGACTCTTAATCTCACAGAGTGGAAATTTTAATGTTTAAATGGTAAAGAGGTGTTTGGAAAAAGTTTTTTGTTTTTATTTTTACAGATTATTTGGAAAATATGTTATTGACATAATTGCTTCCTGTGCATTTGGAATTAAAATAGATGCAGAAGACAATACTAATCCTTTCATTATTAATGCAAATAAATTATTGCAAAGTTTTTTCTCATGGAGAAGTTTTATGACAGGTAAATTAATTTTTATTTGAACAAATAACTTTAGAATAAAAAAACAATAAATGAAAATTTAATATGTATTTCTTTTTTTAGTAATGTTTCCGCAAATAATGAAAATTTTTAAAATATCTCTCTTTAATCCCGAAAGTACGAAATTTTTTCAAAAGTTTGTATTAAATGCCATAAATAAAAGAAAAAATAGTGGAAAGGTAAATATTAAAATTATATTTATAATTTTAATAATTAAAAATATACAAATTGATTTGTAAAAAAAAGCCTAAGTTGTTTTTAAAGAATGTATTTGAATTTTTCATTATTAATTTCTTGAACATCAGTGTAGTTTTATAATTGATATATTTACAATTTTAGTTATAAAATTACTTTGATTGAAAACCTTCAAAACAAATTGAAATATTTAACAAATTCCTACTATATATTATTATTGCTTTTCATATGTCTTGTTTGGAGCTCATCAGAATTAGAATACATTTAGGTAGTTAACAGTTACCCTCTTGTGTATCATGTTGCATCATGTGTTTTACTGCATTGCAGACAAAATGGTATTCAATCCAAAAATAAAATTCAAATTTATTTGTCAATTTCGCAAGCTACTTTATTTTTTGTATTAATCAAGCAATCATTCAAACATTATATATACTAAAATATTACAATTTTGACAAATATGTATGGTATATTTATTATTACTATAGCATATGTATATTATTTGAATTAATAATATTTTCCTGATATTAAAATGTAATAAATTAAACTTTACTTAACTAATACTGATTTTTTTTATTCACTAACACAAGATGTATTATTATTTCAACCCTTGGCACTAAGTACTGATTTAATAGGATAGCCATTTTTACCAATAGTAGTTCATGAAACTCACTTTCATTTGAAATATTCTTCTCCATACAAATTTAGTAATATGTCAATTTAGTTGTTTTCTTGATGTTCTACATTGATTTTCTCCTTGTTTTTAAAATACCCCACAAATGCTCAATGTTTTGTATATGATAACTGCTCCCAACATCCACAAATCACTGTGATTTACTGTTTAATGTTTGTATTGTAATGTAATGTAGTTAATGTATATTAAGATAACTACTTCCAACAATTTAACACCTCGTTGAATAATATTGTTTGTTCAAGAGTTTAATTTAAATTCTGTTGTTACTTTAACTTTTCCCACAATTTACAGGGTTATGAAAGCATTAGAGATTTTGCAGTGGGAAAAAATTAATATATTACATTATTGTCATCACAATAACATTTTGAAAACAGTGTGGCTTATTAGTTATTTTTAGATACAGAAAATTCAACAGTTTACTTACATTGATAAACTGTTGAATTCTCTGTATCTATAAAACAAGATACAATGATGCTTTTTCTAAAGGCATTCTCTTTGAATGTGGTTCTTCTTTGTATAAACAAACAAAACATTTATTTTTCTGAAAGAACATTCATTCTTTGCAGTTATAAAATGGCTTTAAGAACTTGTTAAAAGTTAAGTCATGATTCCAACCGATAACTTTTATTTATTTTCTTTAAATAACACACAAACACTCTAGCAATCTTTAAATGCAAATCTTCTAATTCATAATCTTTAAATGTTCTAGATACTTGATATTTAGTAGCTAATTTATTATATATTAATCATGATAATTAGTAAAATTGATTTAATCCATTTATTTGAATAATTTATAATTATAATATAGGTACGATTTGATTTCTTACAAATGTTGATGGAAACTGAAATGACAGAGAACAACAATGGACATGTAGCAAATGGAAAAGTGTCTCAAGCAAAAAGTATTATGTTACATTAATTTTTATTAATGTAATAGATAGTATAACACCTGAATTTTTACATAATTTATTATATAGTTAGATTTATATTCTTTCTATTCAATGTGTAAATTAAAAATAAATTTATTTAACCTTTTTTATATTAAACTTTACATTTATTACATAAAAACTCTTAAATGTTTTTGTTCATTTACCTAGATTTACACAGCAATGATTAAAGGAAAATGATTTTATATGCTGCTTAAATTCTTTTAAAATTTATTAATAAATCTTAATTTTTTAAAAATATATAAACTGATTTAATTTAATTTTCTTGGATTTTTTAAACTTTTAAATTGTTCAATTTTTAGATATGAATCTAGATGAAATTGTTTCACAGTGTTGTGGATTTTTCATTGCCGGATATCATAGTACAAGCTTTACTCTTAGCAATTTATTTTACAATCTTGCTCTGTATCCTGAATACCAAGATAGGATGAGAGAAGAAATAAATAATATTTTAGAAAATACAGTGAGTATGAATAAAATTCAAAAGCAAAATTTTATTTATAATTAATTAAAAAAAAATTTGTTTTTTTTTTAAACAGAACTCAATAGACTATGAAAAACTCAATGAAATGAAATATGTTGAGGCAGCCATTTTAGAAACATTAAGAATGTATCCAGCTTTAGTAAGGTATATTAATATATATTTAATATTTGAACATTATCAAATTCTGTAATTGCTATTTTCAGGACTGTGAAAACTGCTGTGTAAATAACATATAAATCCCAAAGTATTGATTTATTATGTTTAATTTATGATTTATGTATAATACTGTATATTTCTGTACTGTAGAAATAATAGTCTAACAATAGACAATAGATAAGTTTTGCATATGAAACTTACAAAACTCTCTAAAGCCCTGAAAAATTTACTCTTATTAAAAATTTCTGTTTGATAAAATAATAAATTATAACTACCATTTTAATGTTATTTTATCATAGGCCAGAACGTGAAGCTGCCGATGATTATAAAATTGATAAATTAAATATAAACATTAAGAAAGGAATGCTAATAAGTGTTGCTGTATGTGGGATGCATTATGATCCAGAATGGTATCCTGAACCTGAAAAGTTTAATCCTGAAAGGTAAGACATTTAATATATATTATCTTTATTACTATCAACAACTGTTCTCAGTTCACTGCAGGATGAAGATCTATCCAAATCCTTCCTCTTCCACATTAGACTGGTAAATTTCATGATTTCATCCTACCATCTTTCATGGAATCATTTCCTGACATTTGTTTGTTAAGATCAAGGCTAATTCTCTTTCTTGTCACTCCATTTTTGACTCAGATTTCTCAAAGATTCTCCCTTGAATTGACTATACAAGGGAGAATCATTTATTTTTTTTACTTATAATTTTATTTAAATTTAGATCAATATATGTTATGGGAAAAATTTTAACATATTTTTAGATTCGTCAATACAGAAACTGCATCTGCCTACACATCGTCTTGCATTTATTTGCCTTTTGGAACAGGACCACGTAGTTGTGTCGGGATGAGATTTGCATTAATGATAATGAAATTATGCATTGCCAAAATATTGAAAAATTTCCAGTTTCGATTAGCTCCAGAATGCGAGGTAAAAATTTTTTCTTTTAATTTAAAAATTTTAATAATTTAAATTTGAAGATATTTATTATCCTGCTTTTTTTTATATCTTTAGTATCCACCTCAGTTAGATTCCAAAGATGCCTTATTGAAGATCAAAAATGTGATTTTAAAATTTGAATTTCATCAGTAATAATTAAATATTTTGTTATCTTTTATAACAAGATAATTTGACATATAGAAATAAGCCTATTTCATTAAAAAAAAATATTTTTTCTTCGATTTAATTTTTAAATGTATTTTAAAATTAAATTATTATGTTGAAAAATGAAAATGAAAATATGAAAAATGTTTTATTGTTATTGTTATTTTTTGTGAAGAGAATTGATTAAACTTAAAATAAAACTGAAACTTGTTGCATGTGTTTAAGAATTTTTGAAAATTCATTATCATTTCCCACATTTTCATTCCAGTTTAATATATTTTTAAATTTATGGTTACAAATATGCATACTCTTCTAGATATGCAAAACCTAGTAATTATTATAACTGCAAACTAAATCACATTTACAATATGCAAACTAAATCACATTTACAATATAATTTGGTAGAAATTACAATTTTCCCTTATTTTTGACTCTACACTCTGTAGAAACTAAAGGCAGATGAACGTGGGTGGTAAAGTAAAGGCCAGCATTGAACAGCAATGACTTCTGCTGCCATCAATTGCTTCTTTCGACCTTGACAATTAAAATGGATGATTGATTGAACCTGTTGTTAATGTTCAACACCACTTTAATTTTGTCATCTGTGTGCATCCACCTTAAGGGTACCTTTTTCGTATCCAAAATGAATTAGATTAAGCCCACAATGAGAGCAGCAAGGCAGGGAGGAATAGCGCTTGATCATAGCTTATGATAATTGCCAGTCATATTACTTTCTTGAAGGCTTCACTTCTATTTATTATTGCACTTTTTTAAAATTAAATTCTGATAAAAATTGATATTTCTTCTTGTGATTTGAAGACATTTTTAAATTTGATTAAAAATACAATAAATGTTTGTAATTTAAACTTTTGATAACCTAACAATGTTTTAAAAACATTTGTTATCCTCGTATGGTAACAGATATACCATGAAATCACTCAATAGTTTTGACACCATAACTTTGACAGGATTAAATATAAATTTAAAAAATACATATTCCATTCAATACATTTAAATAAAATATTAAATGCAATGATCTTCAGACGGGCTTTGATATTTTAAATTGTTCTTTGACAATTGAAAATCTATTTGGAAGGTATAAAAACTGCTCGAAAACATTTGTTATATTTGATATTGAGTTGCTTGAATAAAGAAAAGATTATTTTGTTGATATACAGTAACAAATATTTTTAGCTTTTATTCTTAATTTAAATTGCTATAAAGCCTTTAATAATATAAACTGTAATGTAACTACAGTATAGGTACAATAACTACAATTACACCTCTGAGATGGTTGGTACCTTGTCAGAGCTGTAGACCATACCCACAGGAATAAAAATGTTAAAGGAGCTGTACCTTGGAAGATATAGCTCTACTAAATTGCCCTATTTTCAGGAATACATAATTTGGAGTCCAGTCTCTCCATCAAGACTATTACGTTTAACTATTTATGTAAGTAAGCTGACCGGGACCTCACATTTAGCCCATGCTACTATGCTGGCTTTGAGTAACCCGCTTGATTGTTTGTGGAGTTTTATGAGATGTGTGGGGTCTTTCCCCCAGGCAGGACCCAGGGCCCAGGCAGCCTTCAGTACCTTCTCAGCAGTAAAAACGACGCGACATCCAACAAGATTTCCAGTTTTGATACGTGATACCGATATTGGTCGGTATTCATACTTTAAAACTATTCATGATATCTAGCATCAATAGTTTTGTGGTATCGGGACATCCCTATACACAGTAAAAACTGCCCTTTGGAGGCAAATACAGTATCTCGCAAAGGGTTGCATACACAGACATGGTTCCTCTGACTTTTTTGCTGGTACAGAGAGATCTACAACTTTGGGGGTGGGTGGGAAAACCCTCATTCACAGTTCATTCTTACTTCCCTTTTAAGTATTCATTTGTATTGATAATTTGTAAATACATATGTACCTAAATGTAACTTCAACTAGCTGTTTTCTAAATTAAGTGTTTATTCACTGATGTGTTCATTATATTTAACACTTTTTTAAATATATTATGTTATTCAACAATATTTAAGTAGGTTTTTAAATTAATGGCCTTGTCTGCTAATAGCTCTTATCTGTTTCTCTCTATTTGGCCATTTGGAAATTTATAAAAACTTATTTCTTTTTCTTTCTTAAAACAATTTAAATTACAAAAAGTGCAATGTAAATTTAATACACCATTATTATCCGTTTAAATTCTATATTTTGACTTATTTTAAATAGAAACGACAGCACTTTAAACTGATACACGTCTAGGTTTTAATGCCATCTATCGGAAAATTTTATTAAGACATATCTGAGTGTATCCACCTTGTAAATATTTGTTTCATATGTATTTACAGCTTTAGTCGTCTGTAGAAATTATAATATTAAATTATAAACATTTACACAAGTTTGATTCTATCGCAAGAGTAGATATTTAACTAATTTAAGGTTATAAATTACATTGTCGAATCTGTTGCCATCTGTCGATGAATTTAATGACTAAATTTGTAATATAACAGTCTGAAACTAGATTCAGTAAAAATTTTTTCATTAATAAGTGTGGGTAATATTCCAATGTTATTAATTGCGAGAGATTTGCATATTCGATTGCTGCATATAATTTTTTCGAATCTTTATAAAATTAAATATGCATAGAACGTTTAATTACTAAATTAATCGACAGATGGAGACACTCTTAACTGTAAAATAAATTTTGAATATGATTTTTGGTTTAGACGGATCTAAAGACTAATTAATTAAAATTAGTTTATTAGTAATTAAGAATTTTATACGCTTTGCATTTACAAAAAATCCAGCAACGAGTTGCGTAACTTTCCCGGTTGTTATGAGTTTTTATTTAAAAAATAACTTTTATATTATTAAGCAAAATAAATAAAATGTGTGGCGCCATCTATTAACAGATTTTAAAAAAATATATTCTATATTTTTAATTACTGTAAAATAGCAAAAGGCTTAATTTTGACAGTAGATGTGAGTTTATAAAAAAGTATAAATGTTACTAACGAATAAAATCTTTATAAAGTCCTACTCCTCTGAAGATATGACACACAACCCCTCTCTGTCTCCCCACTCCATTGTGGATAAATTGTGGAGGAAAGAAGCAAGTGATCAATTCGAACTATTGAAGAAAATATCTGAATCTTTCTTAGGAACAATTTGAATGAAGTGTAACAAACTATTTGAAGGAATAATAACCATCTTTTACATCCAGAGTTAAAGATATGTTTTGCATGGATGACTCAAGTTTTATGGAATAAAGCTTGAATTATCAGCAATGTTACGTCTCTTATGTATGTCTCCATCGTGGGAAAACAAGGAAATATTTAAACAAAACATTAAGGATATTGTATAAATGCCAAAGAACTGAATTCTCTTTCTACATTCTGAAGGTTCACATTATTTGTAAGCGATCCTTTACGGTTCAGAAAAACCATGGCTCATTCATAGCTGGTTACCAATCATTTACCATCTCTTAGATATTTTTTCCAATATCCGATAAATTATTTTTCTTACTTATGGGAAGTCCTGCATGATAGTTAATGGATTTGTTCTAATAAAAACAACATGGAACACATAGAGCACATTTGTGGCGAAAAATATCGTGAATAATAATGATAATATTCAAATGAGTAGACTGGGAATTAACTCTCTTGACCTAAATCTCATAAAATATTAGTGGGGTGTTCTAGAAAAATATGTAGAAAGTTTAGATAAGAAATGTATTACTACATCATATGTAGTAATATACTTATAAATATTTATTGTCTGCTTAACAAAGTATTGTAAAGACATATTTTTCTCCTAGCGAAATTCTGAAATTAGACGTTAAATTTGATTAGAATTAACTGATCTTTTTCTTAAAAATTATAATAAAATATTAGAAATTAATTTTATATGTGTTACAACATTACTGGTATATATATATATATTGCATATATCATAGAAACGGAGTAGGCTACCACTACATAAGCATACCCTCAAACAATTCGAAAACATAATAGAATTTTTAGTCTCATTGCTGTAACAAGTGAAAAAAATATTTAAAATAGAAAATATTCTGATAGCCAATGGTACTCAAGATTCAAGCATAGGGTACCATCAGACAGGATATCCAAGGATGTTTCGGAAGATGGAGAGACAATTGGAAAAAGAACTAAATGACAGGAAGAGATGACATAAGACCATAAGCTCAGTAGTCCTTAGTCCTTTGGTTGTAATCAAAGACTTTAAGAACCACTGAGCTGATGAAGGATTTTGTAACTCTTTCCACTACGTGGGCACTAAAGCCTTTTTTGCAAGACCATTGTGGATTTGGTCAGGCCTACACTGAAGAGGCGGATGATAAGGGATGGGGCCGAACGTATCCGGACAGACCACCCACCGAAAATTCCTAGGGTTTTTAATCCGTGCGGATTCGATCCCGGATCTCCCAGAGCAATAAATCTTAGCCGCTCGACCATCCGGTTTGAATGAAGATTATCAAATCTATTGACTTCATATTATATAATATACCGTATGAAAATGATTTTAATGTAAATTATGTACATTATAAATATATGATAAGATAGAAACTGATAAGGGTCAAGTTTAGAATCAGATATAATATTGTCGTCATATTCTTTTATAATTTATTTATTTGATTATATATTATTAGTAGATGTGCCATTATATTTTTCATAGATGACTAGCTGTATTATTTTCAGGAAAAAATAGATTTATGCAAAAAATACTTTTTATAGATGTAAAATATTAAGGTTAAGGGCATTCAGGAAGAGGAAGATGCAGGAAGAGGCAGATGATCCCTGCCTCTTTCTGCATCTTCCTCTTCCTGAAATCGACTGTTCTCTATAGAACAAATTGTTTTACATTATAAATTACTTATTAAAAATAAGAATATTACAAATATGTAACTTAAAAATTTGAAAAAAAAAATATTTGATTAATCTCATTTTGAATTAATAAACGTTATGTTTAATTAAAAACAAAAAAAAATACATTAAATAATTAAAATATTTCAA